TATAACCAACGTAAATGGGTTATTTATTACAAGTATCCATGCCAAAAAGTTATAAAATTGCAATTTATAATACGAAATAATACAAGCGATATTTGTACTGGAATTTTTTATAGCTACTGAATAGGTTTAAATGGAGAATAATTGCTCGTTAAATTTGCGTATTTTACCGCGTACATCGCTCATTTATAATCAAAATAAAATAGCTGGTTTATTGCAAATTTCCAAGAAAAAGAGGAAAATTAAATTATATAGAGTGAAAAGAGACAAGTAATATAAGCCTTGAAAATAAGCTATAGCTACGAATATTAAATGCTACGCTAAGGATTAAATAAATATCAGTAATCAATTTCTCTAATTCAATTGTTGTTAGAGGATTTCAAATATCAGTTCTTATTTAGATGTCGTACGAGATTAAACACTGAGTATCGTATAAAGTGCAGGCATTCACAACCTAATGAGTCGAAATATATTTGTATATTGAAATTGTTTGCAAAAAATAATTATGATAATGCTATTATAATCATTCTATCTTCAAATTGCACTGGACAATCACAGCTTATTTCGTATACGCAAGAAAAACATGCCAAGAGTATCGATAAATTTTTCTTGCCATTGCCCTATACAAATTATTCACACGTACGTTATCTACAGACAGAAATTGAACAGAATTATTTGCCGGACTCTTTAGATATCATCTTGAAAATAACTTCACAAATTTTAAGTTTCGCCAACTCGACAGTGTGTACATCATCGATTCTGCGTAGCTGCGTAGCTATGTATGCACCAAATATATCCATTTGATCTTCAGATTTTTTCTTCTTAGTTACATGCATGATTTCATAAGCTTCCGTTAACATCATATCGATAGATGGCTGTCTTTTACGCTCTGTTTTACATTCTGATACAAAATTGCTAGGCGAAGAAATTTCATTATTGCCACGTGTCAGCTTTGCCTATACAGATTTTATAGCAAACTATTTATAAACAACTAGAATGATAAATACCCGTTGGTGAACCATAAGCATTTAATTATTTGAACATATCTGATCATAGACAAGTAAGATATTCAATAAGAGCTAACTTACCATCAAAATAAGCTATTGGTTTAACTACAGCTTTCTTTCAGTAATCATGTGGGTTCAGATAGCTGCGAATATCAGAGAAAAGCATCAATCACGGCTAACCATAAATCATAAAATACAAAATCTTATGTAGATTGCTTTCGTATAACATCATAATTATCTTCTATCCTACCTATTTCTCTTACATAAACCGTCTTAAACTATTTGAAATCTAAAAATTTTTCTTTTTATGTGCCCTTAATATTCCTATAACTGTTTATGATTGCTTTACCTGCACAAATGTCTGATAATGAAGTATCAAAGTAAAATTATTCTTGAGTGAATAATGCTCGTAATAAAATTTTCAATATCGTGCACTACCAGAATCACTCAATTAATACAGACACAAATAATGAAAGTAATAAATTATAATTACAAGTTGTTATCTAGCAAAATGAAATTAATTAACTGTTCACAGCTTCAGGCAATTAACATCTGGAAAGTAATAAACATTTATGGAGCTTCACATGCACCGTAATAATTATGTAAGAGTGTTTTAAGCATAATGGAGCAAGAAAGCATACAAGTAAAATTTCAAAATTAATATCCGTATTAATGCTGATTCTTAACATATTCTGTCGTATTTACATATCCTTTATAAATAATAATAAGAAAAGTCAAGTCCAAATTTCTATATATACCTATAAATAATAAAATGAGTATACTTGGATATAATTTTTACGTATACTCTAACGTTTATGCATTGCTCTATCATGTCTTTCGCACTTAACGTATTGAATATCTTTGCCATAATTATCCTCAATCTTGTCCTTGAAACTATGACGAGCAGCAGCAGTGACAACACTTTTATATTTGGCACCTACATCAGAAATAAACGTAAAAATGTAGTGAAATATTTCAAACGGATAACGAATCTAGTATGATGGTTTATTCATAAATTTACCTTACATTGCCCAATTCATAAAGACATTATCGTATCTCTATGGATAATACAAATGGTAAAAGTTAGTCTTCTAAACTTTATAACTAGCTCACATTATAACAATAGGATATGTTAGTAAACAAAAATTGCTGTAGAGTCGAGACTTTTAATGAGAACTTTATTTATTATCGCGAATAAATAAAAGATTTGCACTTTTGATGATCAACATCTAGTATACGAGCCAATTCTACAATTACAGATTAAAAGTATTAAAGTATGTTGATAATGGGGAATATCTTAAACATATTTTGCTCAGAACATATAGTATTATAGATTTTTAGTAAATAAACAAGTTTAAAATTGGATTGCAATCAATAGAATTTAAAAAGCTTTTCATTGAACAAGACTTTGACATAACCAATATTGAATTATTATATATCGTACCATTATTCTCGAGATTAATTTTTCCGGAAATTAATTCCCAATAGTTTAGAAGGGATAAAGCAGGCCTAATTTTATACTTCAAATGGATGCTTTAAAGGTTATTTTATTATTTCAAGGTGCCACAAAACAGCTTTGCAACAAGATAACGCAATATACGATCAATAAGTCAATTCCTTGAATCACGTATCAAGGAACGATATCTGCACTATCACAAACACTCTTGTTCTACTATCAGACTACACAAAGACTTAAACGCCTCGTATTTTACGTTAAACACTAAGTTTGAGAATCCTCATTATTACACGATATGCTGCATTTATATACTGTTTCTCAATAGTTCATGAGTCATCGTTAGTGCGATTAAGTTTGGAATCATTTACTGAATTAGATATCAATTTTAGCTACTGCTCCCATAATGCAGACAACAGTATTTACGAACATAGACATCTGATGACTAATACAGAATAGTCAGATTACGATATGTCCTATCACGGAACATTTCCATGATAATTTACAATCTACCATAAGTAAGTTACAATCACAATGATTCGAACTGTAAGTAGATAATTCGCATTCCCTAATGTAACTTCTATTTTCAGTATATGTATATGTGTCACTGTCATAAAAAGTCAGTGCTATATTAAAACACAGTATATCCAAATTAGAAGTTAGCTAAATAAGGATAGGCTAACAGAATTATCCTAACATAGGAATTTCTACTCTAATACAGTATATAACACTATCACACAAGGTTTACTTTCTAGTCTAATGTCGATAATGATTAGGGATTCATTGCAAGTTCTGAAGAATTAGACTAGATCCTCTCGAAAGCTAAATTATGATACCGTTTAAAGATTAATCTAGCAATTATAAAAATTATAAAAATTGTAAATTTAATTAGATCAATTTATATATAACCTGAATGAACCAAAGTTCTAATTTGTTTCGGTAGGAATGAATAATTATGCTCTTATCTAATTTCTTCAGGAAATACTGTAATGCAAATTTATGATTTCAACAATTGTGTAATTCAGAATTAATTACAATAAGCTTATACAGTATACAAATTTGAAAGCCTTAAAATTATGATTTAGACTAAAACACCTTACACATCTTATTGTGATTGATTTAAGCATTTCTGATGCCAGATAAAATTTAAAAAAATTTTTTACTTTCAATTCCGAATGATTAGTCATTGATAAAATTGAGTCAATCAATATTATTAATATGAGCGATATTTGCATGACTGAAATTTCAAATTCAAACTGTTTTGGATCATGTTGAGATCTTTGATAAGATTGTTCTTGAATAGAAGCAAACCTACAGAACGTTATTCAGTACTAATTTTAGGCTTTAATCAATAGCATTTAAAGGTAATTTTAGGACATAAACTCTGATTTAGACGTATACAAACTGATAAAGTGTAACCAAGCTGAAGATTTTTTTAGAGAGTGATTTTACCATATTTAAAGCGATTAGAATAACTTTTGAAATTTCAAAGTCATGCCGACTTAAGAACACCCACAACAGATTTAAGTTCTGGATTATGTCCATTGATGACACAACGAGGTAATCGTCAAAGCTTTCTATCTGGGGCTTACTTTTCCAAAAAATTCGTGCCAAGAAGGCTTAGATCACGGTAAAAGCCAATGAGCTTGTGATAAAATACGATCACCAAAATTTCAAAGTTATATAAAATTAGAACTTTATTAGATCTAATACAAAGACTAGCTACATACAGCTCTACTTTAGCCGAATACAACTACTGAAAGACTTCTAGAAAGAACAATCAGATAATCTAATGTCTCCTACTTTTATACTCTCCGTAGCCTTTTGCAGTTACAATTAGCATAGCAGCATTCTACCATATTTTATACATATTCAGCTTATTATTAGTTACCATATTTTACAGCGAACCATCTCTAATCCAATCAAGAAATGATTGCAGTATTTTCATAGACATCATTCCTACCACTTAAAGTACTATGAACTAAGCATATCCTAATATATAATTTACAATTTTATTTCTACGCCTAACCTAATTAGTAGTTCGACACCTTACTATATATATTCATCTGTACACTGGCATAGAGTCTACTCTTACAGTCTGTAATTATGGGCTACTACATATATCACAAGATAAATATAGAAAAATGTTAACAAACATCAAACTAAATATGGCTAATAGTCTACAATCACAATACTAAATTACTTTACAGAGTAATAAGAAAATTTCTCTTCCAATATGCCATGGAATCCAAATAAAAATATCACAAGGTAAATAGCAAAGATAAGCTTTAAATCTTAATGTATGAAATTGATTGATCAATTGAATAACCATGAGAAATTTCAGAGAAATGTTCAAAAATACGGTTGCAAAGCCTTTGTGCAAATGCAAAAGAATATGATATGTCGAATAGTTTACTTCATAATATCGATTAAAATACAGTTTTGCCATTCTCTGATTTCAATTTATTTCAGATCAAATATATGTGATGTGCTATAAATTAGAAATGATAAAATTTACTCTAATTTTTTATCGCTGAATTAAATTATTCGAGAGCAGTATTCCAAACTACTGTAGTAAAGCTTCTAGAGCCCAATCGAGGTATTCTAATAGTGGTATTGAACTTATCTCTTCTATCCAATCGGCGGTTACAACATAGACATAATAATATTCGATAAATGCCTTGGGTTATACTCTTGTTGGAGAAACCATAAATAATAGGATTAAAGGCAACGGCCGATAAATTAATCATACCTAAGATACGAATGGCTAATCCAACAGTCGTAGGTAAAGGTAAAGGAATTCTTAAATCAGCTAACATAACAATAACGTAAAATGGCAAGTTGGTGATGATGAAGATGGCGAAGCATGTTATTAAAATTTTAATAACACTACGATTTTGTTTCAATTGATTGTATTGCTCTCGTAATGTTAAAGTGCTTAGTCGATCACTAGGGTTTCGATGGAACCAAAGTCTTCCAGCAATTATAGAATATAAAACCATCATAGCAAGGCTAGGTAGTAGAAATGCGATAAGTATAAAGGCAATCCAATAAAGAAGTCGATTAAATGAAATAACGCTGACAAGATTATGATAATTATCGGTTATGTTAATATCTAAATGAGAACCAGGGTAACGCGATAGATAATATGTGCGACCATAAAAGCTTCTAATATGCAAGAAGAGGATATAAACGGTAGATAAACCAAAAGCTGCAATCCAGCATGGTATTAGAAAGACGTAAACTCGCTTACTGGTAATTTTCCAATGCCTCTTCATTGGATAAATGATAGCAATATAACGATCAATACAAATGATTATTAAAGTTAGAGAAATACTAATTATACAAGCCCCAGGTATGATTTGCAAGAAACGACAAAAGTGGATAGATTTATTTTGTAGAGAAACTTGACTGGGATTCAAATAGCTAGTCAATTTAAATGGAATATGCAATACAGAAATGGCTAAACTAGCTAAAGATAAATTACAAACTAGCAAATTGACTGGTGTTCGTAAATCTTTAAAAAAACTTACTGATAATATGATTAATGAATTGGCAGGAATACTGATAATTAGAATAACTACATAGCATAGAAATAAAACAATATTGCCGAAGTCAAGTTCTTCCATGTTCATTAAACCCTGTATGATGCGTTAACAGAATAATACATGTAAGCGATTGCTGTTAATGAAAACTGTTTTTTTATAACGGTAAATAAAATGAAACTTAGATACAAGAATTAGATTTTCTTTAAATTTATAAAATTAGAATCATATCAGTAGTCTGTTCATAAATATTATAAAAGAAAAAGGATCGAGCAAGTAGTATCCAACAACACCAATACAGCAATAGTTACTTTTTCTGATGATAATAATGCTAAAGTATCCGTCAATACTACTCTCGATAGAATAGAATGGCAAGATGTCAAATATTAAGGTTGAAGATGATTAGAAAGCTTTAACTCTGATTTGTTGTCGACGATTCTAAATAGCTAATTAAATAGCAGTTCGTGCGGAACAGGATTTGATAAAACGATATCGATCATCAAAGTTAAATTCTGTTAAGAAAGTGTAATTTTAAATTCCTTCCATCTGATGATCATTACTTTAATCAAAGATAAGAGAGCATCCAATATCATGGACAAACATGGTTACGAAGCTTAAAAAATATATTAAACACTGGTTATATAATCAAATCAAAATTTAATAAAGCTAGCATATTCTATAAAACAAACTTATTGTCAGCAACATAAGAAATTTGGATAAAAATTGATGTTTCCAGATCTTTGTATCTCTATTCTAAATGAAAGATTGCGGTAATGCCACGTATTCATAGCGTTCCATGAACTTATTGTATGACATTTAATTTGCATTAATCAAATTGATTAACAAGGTTATTGTTTAATGGAATGCTGTCTTATCTTAATAAATTTAATTAAATAAAACAAAAACGATTGGTTGAATCTTGTCCATTTATACGCTCCAGTTCTTTATTTATCATAGTTGATGTTTTCAAATCGTGTGTGTTTACTTGGCTTCCGCCACCCGGAATTTCGTAGCGCTATTCTCTGTACTTAAATTAATAGATATATATAAATTTATATATTTACATATATATATATCATAATCACTTTTTCTGCTAACTTTAACGTATTAATTGATTGATACCTTTCTCGTCATCTAATTTACTTAATTAACATGGAAACAATATAAAACCAGCGATGAGATAGGTGCCTTTTTCTGAATTCAATGCAATGGGTGCTTTTTTCTGCATTCAATGCAATAGGTAGTAACAACATAGAAGGTTAAAAATATTATCGTTGCTGGTAGCACAAGGAGAGTCACTTTAAGCATACGGCTATAATTTAGTTTACGTATTTGATTTACAAAATGACATGCTTGATGTAAAATAGTGAAGTAAAGCTATAGTAGCAAACTGTAAATACTTGTGTTAATTATTTATCACTTAGAATTTTCCAGTTTTATTTTTGCAATCTTAAGTTCCGCTACTTGACATCATAAATCGAACTCAATGAAATAATACACCCTGCTCTTCTCATATCATCATTTAATTCCGTTTATTGAAAGCGGCTATCAATTTTAATTTCAGTCATTAAAAAATACTGACAATTAAAATGTTAGCTATCATTGATCATTTTAATGAAACATTATATATGCGAATCTACTATATTTGACTATAACATATTTGTAAACTTCAATTTTAATCTCTAAATACGTCAATTACTACACTTTTATTTTAGCTATGATTTCAGATATTAAGTATCAAATTTCAATCGTTTTATTATCCATAATTCAATTTTCGGAAAATATAACGACTTTAAGGAAGGATTATTTATCTCTAAATCTGCCCTGTATACGGTTTAATATCCGCTCGATGAAACGTCAAGATCAATTACATGAATTATTAAAATATCTAGAATGGAATCGACTTATATGTATAGCAATAATTTTGGTAAAAAGGGATATTCCATATTTGTACTTGCTTTGATTTCCATTTCAGACCCATAATGGCTAATCTGTAAGCACTGAAAACCTTGCAACGACTACTATTAAAGCTGTAATAAATATTCTACTAAATAAAATACTTCATTAGTTGATAAAATTTGGCCAATATCAATTCCTGCATTGTATGTCTTCTATTTCAATCATTTTAATGTTGATAATTAAAGTCGTGGCTAGAGTAAAAAATTTTGGATAAATGATTCATACCGTAATTATTCAATCTCCTTTGAAAAAAATTATTTCATAGGTTAAGACCCATTTAATTCCTATATTAAGCATTTGGCGCTTTTCTCTCTCCAGTCTTTCTGTAAACAATATAGGTTTTAAATACCCATGAATTGATGCCATTCAATAATTTATGTTTTGTTCTAAATCTTTCTATTAGCACAAGGTCACAAACTCTACGGCTTGATACAACATGTAATTTGCTAACGTAAAAGCTTAAAATGGATTCCACTATCCTATTTTGTGCCTGTTGTAAAGCAACTGTCAGGATTGATTAGATGGATACTACTCATATAAGTGCTTGTTAATGCAATCAACTCAGAGCTGCTATATAATTGTTCTATTTTGACCATGCAGTACCTATACTCCGATAATATTATTCGATTTCGGTAGTGTAATATAATAAAGCATCAATGAACATTTAAAATCTAGATTAAATTGCTCGTGTAAACAGTGATAGTATTTTATAGCTTGGATTGGTGCTCTGTCTAGTCTATAGCTTAATATAATTACTAGTTCTCCATCAGTAGAGCCATTGAACCCCTCAATAATATACATCGTTATTGGAAATAATATTATTTACTGGCAAAAACTAAGTAACAGCACTTTATCCTGTGCTATCAATGAACAGCATACACATCTGATCATTATCTGCTGATTTCGCTCAATTGTCGCTATTGCTACTTAGAATAAGTACAATCGTCTCCGCTAGTAATTCCATCGATTTTCTAAGTACAGATCTTAAGTAATTCTTTATATTTAATACACTATTCTAAACGTATATATCATAGTTTCATTAATATCAGCAAGATATCTATGCAAGTGCTATGAAATAGCTTTGCAACAAAGTAACGTAATTTACGACCTATTTTGATGTCGCTGAACTACATATCAGAACTTAATATCTCTATTCTAACTGCAATACTATTCCTCTTCCAATTAATAAGACTTACATACCTTATAGTTTATATCAAACACAGATTTTCAAGAACTTAATTTATTACTGTCACGGTACGCCGTTACTAATTAAGTAACTGTAAATTAATGAATGCTTATGAATAGATAAGATAAGGTTATGTGCTATGTTTTAATGCACTTGTAGCTGATAATAGGATGGTAGAAATGAGATAAAAATAGAAGTTGTTAGCAGTTAATTTAGTGTAGGTTTATAATTTGTGTTAATCTCTAAAAATTGAGCTGTATATGGACGAAGGTTAAGCGTCTTAACACCTGATAGCTTGTAGCTATCTAAGTCTGAGGATATCGACATGTATATTTAGTAATGGTATTATACTAATTAATGTAACTTGTAAAGCATGAATTCTCACTCGTTAATATTGGAATTCACTGTAGAAACCTATTTAAGCGCGTGTGTTTGTAGAATAAAGTAAGTAATTGCTCAAGAAACGGCAAGACTCATATCGTGAAGAATAGTGTAATAATTAGTCAGTTGTCTGTGGAGATCAGCCGAGAAAGCGAGTTCTCAAATAGTTCTCTCATAGAAACTGAAAGTACTGGGAGAAATAGCCCAAGTTTTAAGTAACTACACTAGTTCTTTACTTTCCTTTGCCACAAGTGAGGGTTGTGACAATTACATGATTGTAATAGAATCCTATTTCTAGCCACACTTTAAATTAGTCACCCAATAATATGTAATTAGTCTTCCTACTTATTGGTTAAAAAGTACTTTATTACTAAAAATTGTTGTTCGATATACAGTAGTG